CTCTGGGATGTCCTGAAGACTTCTTCACTGCAGTTGAACCTCTCTCCTTGAAGTTCTTGATGATCCGGTAAATGGTTCTTTCAGGTGCAATATTCTTTGTAGCAATTTCCTTGCATGTGAGGCCATTTTGATGCAAATTGATGATGGCTGCACGTGTTTCTTTGGGGGTAACCATTGCTAACAAGAACACAATGATTGGAAGCGCTTCTTCTATAGCAATCAGTCTGCTGTTACAATCTAAATAGTATGATAGTGATTTCACTGACTAGTACTCATTCACACTTTCACATGTGCTGCTGATATGATTAGTCAATTATTGTTAGCTGGTCATTTTGTGTCAGGATCAAAAAACAGTGAAATTTGTTTTTTGTGAAAAGTTCATTTTTTGGCCAATGAAGCTTTTAGCAATTATTTCAAATGCATCTGATCACTCTACACAATAATCTAGAAACAATGTGAATGAACACCACAACAGCTTAAGCTGCAAACTTTGCAAAACACAAAATGTATGTCACTGCCAAAACTTTTGGCCATGACTGCAGTCGTAGTTGTAGCAGTCATAGTGCGCGACTTCGTGTGCGTCGAATACAGCGGCAGGCGGGAAAATGAAGCATTCCCCAAGTAGGGCAAAGCAAGGTACTGATTTTTTATATTTTAGATAGTTAAAGACTTCCCAGTGATATTTTATTAAATATTGCATTAAAAAAATGTACATGAGGATGTTTCCTCCAATTTAACTCACCGTTTTTTGACAACGCAGCTCGTATAAACCTTGCTGTGGGATAGAAAAACACACTTAGGATGAAATCTGAGGAATCATCAGCCTCCACTCCATAGTAATCTATATCCATGTCTCTGTAAAAGCGGGGTCCAGTGTTGACATGAGGGGGTCCACTAGCAGCGTTCACAATGTGTGTGATCCCCATATTATACAACATTGACTTGTCTCGTGCCGCAACCCTGAGAAAACACAAACACAGAGTGTTTTCTGTAGTTCTGTACATTTTCATTCAATTTCCATTTGAATAGAAAACATAATACATACTCATTGCCAATGTACACATTAGGCCACACTTGGTTGACATGTCCAGTGGGCCGTCTGTCAGCCAACATGAAGTTCTGCATTTCGGCAACGGATGGTGTTTCATAGGCACACAGTTCCTTGAGGGACATCCTGGCCCAAAAAATATTAAAAAAAGGAAATTTTTATTTGAAAATTGCAGTAAGGTATTGGATATTATCACGCTGCCTTACATGCAGTTTAGATGCATTCTCCAAAAGCCCATCAAACTAGCTGAGCCCACCTGAGGCCGTTGCTCGTGAAATCTTCTTGTTGCTAAGAGGCTGAGAGCACACTGACACTCCACTTCAGCTCTTAACATCATTAAAATGAATACTGAGGGCTTTTTATGGAATATCATTCCACTTAGGATTCCTTGACTGTTGTGGCAAATGTGTCTACAGCTCAGGTGTGGGAAAGAAAACGTGCGATGCCAGAGCCGAGAGCGATTCAGTGAGGTTAGCTTCCATAATAGCTCTTCAAAACACCAAAATGTTATTTTCTAAAAGCCTCTAAAATCTCCCCTCCTTTTGTGAACTTACATTTTGCAGCCGGTGGCCCTTTTTTTCCCTCGTTCTCAGATTGCCTGCTCTTCTCTCCTTGGTCAGGGGACGTTGTCGACAGCCAGTCCACAGATATGTCTCTAGAGGCTGTTTCTTTTTTTAAATGGTGTATAATTATAAACCTCCCTGGATACAAAGAGCTCTTCCAGGTCTTAGTGGGCAGTCAGGTTTGCTTTTAGAAGACTGTCTCTCCCTAGACAATGATCTTTTGAGCATGTTCTGCACATATGGTGTATATCTTGGCTAAACTCCCAATATTGTAAATCACTCTTGCAGTGCAGACGAAGGTAAAGGTGGGTCATCAGCGGCTTTCATTGAACACATACATCTTTATCATGAGTCACTGTGCAGGGAAATACACATAATCTCACAAGGTCTCGCCAGCTGCTAGGTTAAACACTCTTGAAATCCAGATGTTCCTTTCATTTGCCTTGAGGGTGAGTCTTTGATAAATGGTGAGATCTTTGCACATGCAAGTGCAGTGACATGTTGGGTAATTGGAGCGTGTCAGATACCCCTCTCAAAGATATGCTGTCTTCTTTGCACTCCAGCTGAAAGTGTTTATAGTTAGTGCTCAAATGCTTCAGTAAATTAGGCTATATGTGTAAAGCAGGAAAAGACTTAACTAAGAGTTGTTCTTACCATGCCGGTAAAATAAGCTGTGAGCCCCATAGTAATTATGGTTTTATGAAGCTAATAAAAAGGAATTAATGGGCTGGGTGTGAAAGCCACATACACCTGTTCCTCCTCAAGATCTGCTTATTACTCACTATTATCGAAACCTTATACTGTATACGAAAGAATCACAATAACACATAGTATGTTTTGTGGATTTTAATAGACTTTTCTCTTTCTTTTTTTGAAGTCCTTGTCCTGGTGAATCAAAAAATACACTGAAGTGCATTACAGTGACTAAGCTTGGCTTTCTTTAATCTTTATTTGGAAAAGCAGTGTATATAATTTGTATTAAGTGGTCCAAATTTGCCAGTTTCAAATTGCAGTGGTAGATCCAATCCATGAATCATTCAGGCTGCTTTTCTTTTGTGGTTTTTTAAAAGTCATGGAGACTTCCTGAATTCAAAGTAAACAGTGGTACAATAACATATCTACTGTTTAAAAATTTGGGGTCAGTAAGGTTTTTTAAATACTTTTATTCAGCAAAGAGGAATTAAATTGATCAAAAGTGACAGTAAAAACATATCATGTAACAATTTCTATTTCAAATAAAATTGTATCAGTTTCCACAAACATGTTAGACAGCAACTGTTTTCAACATTGATAAAAAGAAGGAAAAAAATGCTTCTTGAGCACCAAATCAACATATTAGATTGATTTCTGAAGGATCATGTGACGCTGAAGACTGGAGTAATGGCTGCTGAAAAATTCAGCTTTGCCATCACAGGAATAAATTACATTTTAAAATATATTTAAACAGAAAACAGGTTAACTAATTAAACTGTTTTACTGTATTTTTGATCAAATAAATGCACTTTTGTCGAGCATAACAGACTTTTTTCAGAAGCATTTAAAAAGGTAAAAGAAAGTATGTATTTTAGTTCTGCTTTACTATTGCTGTTTCTTCAAAGTGGTTTGTTTTAGCCAAAATATATGTTGCTGCTGGGCTGATTTGTTTGTTTGTTCTTCTTATCCATGATATCTTAGGCTTGACAGTCTTCCCTGAGAAAACACTGACACAATGTAATCATGTACAGATGCTTCTGCTTTCCAGAGCACTTTTGTGACACTAATGTGGTCAGCATCACCCCCTCTGTGCCTCTGGTTCTTCTAAAGTCAAATCAGGAGATGACTTAACTCAGCTGAGAATATATACACACGCTTGGCTTAGCTGCTTGCGTCTGTTCTCTGTTTCTCTTCTCGACTGTTTCCATGATTTATCATCGTACACTGTATGCCAAGCAGCTAATCAGGAAGCAAAGTAGTGTCTTAATTGAATGTTCTCTGAAAGCGATGTGTGTCCGGGGACTCATGTTGGTCCTGCTTCCTCTGGCTCGGCTGCACAGCTGCAGGTCACCGTCAGGGTGACGACAGGAAGAGCCAGTCCAGGGGAATTAGTTTCTCTCCTCGAGGTTTTTGGGGGTTAATGCTGTTCTGTTACGGTTTTGGTAGGTCGGGTTATGGGGTCCTTCAAGTACATCTGCATGATGAAATGTCATTGACAAATGATAAAGAACAGGTTTGAATCTGTAACCTATTGATCTAGATTTCTTTGAATGTGGTTGAACTCAACCAAAGAAGTCCGTGTTAATGTAGCATATGAAGGACAGCATATGAAAAGTAAAAGAAAAATATTATGGAAGGACACTCATCATAAAAAAACAGCAAGATTTTAATTAATCTGATTACACAGTTGGAAGAAAACCCTGTTTGCAAACATTTCATGGCACAGCACTGCACCCTGCTGGAAACAGTCAGAAGCACAAGGGAAAGTAAAGCAAAACTACATGAATAATGTTGTACTCTAGACAGGGTCATTTACAATTTATAACTGACACATGCATTTGGCTCTGTTATTTGCAGATGGATGAGCTTGTGGCTTTTCATAGAGCATCTGTCTTAGCATGAGAGAAATCAATGGAAATATATTTCATACCATAAACTTTTTTTATTTTATTTTAGAAATTACATTTAGTTGTGCATATTTATTATAAGTATACAAGTAAAAAAAATAAATAAAATAAAATAAAAAATAACTTTCAGATTTATTTTTTTTGGACAAATACATATAAATATTATGTTTTTTGTTACACTTTCGAAAATACTTAACATAGGCAGATATATCTAACGGTAACAAATTCAATATTCAGCCCGCTCATAGTCAATAGAGTCTAATGTGCAATTAAATGTAAGTATACAGTGCATTAACAAAACTGTGCATTTATACACTAAATATTCTCCAAGATAAGAAAGCAACTTCTGTGAATCAATGAGCTGAATGAAACACATTATTCTGCTATTAAAACAAAAAGGTGCACTAAAACCACATCAGCGAGTGCTGCTCAGTCATTTAAACAAGGCTTTTAGGATTGAGTCAACAGAAGAGTGTTGTGCTTGGCCAGTATATTTTTCTCCAAATGTGGCTGCCAAAAGCAACATAAAAGCTAATACTGCTCACAGTGAGGTTTTTCTCTGCAGCTGAATAATAAACCACAATTCAATCATTTAATACTGTTTATTTTGGTATTCTATGCTGAATACTGACTCCACTGTTAAATATTATTCGCAGTGTGAGGAGCATGTGGCACTTGTGTGCTGTGGTTCAGAGAGCTGCAACTTGAATATATCATATAGACTTTCTTTAAAAACACCATTCTCATTTCCTTCATTTACACTACATTGTACATTAAAGCCACCTATGTTAATATGACTATGCAAACATGTCAAATGTAAATTAAGTTAAAAAGTCAGTATTAAAACTTTCATTCAATATTAAAGTGTTTTATAGATAAATTCTTAAACTTTATTTAATAACCTTGTAAATGTATGGAAAAGTACAAAGATGGTCTATACATACACTAAACCTGCAAGGCACAAGTTTTACTATATGAAACAATATATATACATATCGTAAATAATGTAAACATACCAATGGTGGTTACCTCCTTACCTTTTAGTTATATAAAATGAATGCATGTGCATTTGTGTGCTCATGACATTTGTGTTTTTCTGTCAGAGAATAGGACACAGCATTCGCTTTCTCTGTAGCTGAATGCCCAAATCCAGGAGAAGGCTCAAAAAGTTCCTGTTAGGATAGATTGCTCTTCGCAGTACAACTGTTTGGATGGCAGTGTGGAGAGTAAGACGCTGACACAGCATAAGGTACGCTAGAACCAGAGTGGCAGACCGACTCATTCCCATGATGCAATGAACAAGCACCTTTCCTATAGATAAAAGACACCATAACTGTCAGGAGCAGACTAATACTATAATTGAAACTAACCACTTCATTTCCTTACAAATAAGATATTATAATGAATTTCCGAATGAAGTTGAGTTGTTTATTAAGTTCAGAGTAAAATGAGGTATAGAGGAAATGTAGCTTTTTTTCTTGGAGTCTTTTTGTCTAAAATCACCTGCAGTAAAACAGACCTATTTGTTATTTTAGTACAAAATGTAAAAATCTAAGTTCAACAATGTTGAAGGAATTGGTGGTATTGGATTGTATGTCAAATTAGTATTGATGTCATGTGTTATTTAGGATAGTAAAAGGTTGTATAAATACTATTTATATAAATCAGTGTTTTAGTTTCAAAGAAGACTTCAAAATTCTCCTCAAAGCATTTAGATTGCCTTGTTTTATTTTTGCATTACATTAATATCATTGACTGTGGTCACTTACCATTCTTCTTCCTCAAGGCTTTGTGGATGAAATCAGAAGCAGGTTTAAAGTATACACTAAGATCAAATGATGAAGAGTCATCTGCTGGGATGCCATAATACACAATTGTACTGCCGTAATAACTCTGGTCCCCAATGCTGCCTTGCTTGGAATGGGCAGCATTTAAGACATGAGTGATGCCCATTTTCTTCAAAGCATTTCTATTTTGAGCAATGGCCCTATAGAAAAAGTGAAATATGTGTTATGTAATGAAACAGGGCAAAACACTATGGCAGTCATTAAAAGTGATTTAGAATCGAGTTCGCTAGAAGGGTGCACAGTAGGCTATATGTATGATTGAATCTCAAACAAATAAGTTACTTTGATAGAACAGCTTGTTCTCAAATCTTATTTTAATATAACAATATTATAATAAAACTAAATATAAACCACATAGACATTGCTCGCGTGCTATAAATCTTTAAATAAGCGCCATTTGCATATAATAAGCTGCATCACCACATGATCATATAACGTTAGTAGGCTAGTACTTACACGTTTCCGATGTACAAGTTCGGCCAGACCTCGTCGACTGGATTTAGATCAAGTTTACATGTGTCCAGAATATTCTCTAACTCCTTAATAGCCAGGAGTCCGTGTTTATTTTTCTGAGCTGTCATTCTTCTGAGTTGACCCAGATCAGATTATTATGCCCGTGAAGATGCGTTTCTGCTGTTTTCCCGAGGCTTCAGTAGGCTATACATAACGGGTTTGGCACGCCGTGATCCACACAAACAGGTGCTCTTTATGACGCTGCTCGGTCACACGATACCACTGAGCATCTCGGAGCTCCGCTGATGATAGACGTCTGCGCGTACAACACATTCTGCGAGCAGCTGTTTCTGTGCCGTGCAACGTTTACCTCCTCCAGGGGGCGCCTGGTGGCTCAGAAAGTCAAAAACATCAGGTGAGTCGCATTCAAATCTTTGGATGTTTTACTCGTACTGGAAATATTTTTACGCGAAAAAAATAGCCTATAATATGTTAAATATACGAATCCCAAGGCATGGTATCAGACAGCAAATGCAGATAAATTACGACATTAGCCTGCTATTATTAAATAAAATACTGTCTAGGCCAGTAATCACAAATGACTCTGATTGGTCCATCCTGACTAGCGCGGAAAAAAATAACAGGCACCACACACGTGTTTGTACTACATCGTCATCGGTTTAAACCTAATAATATTGAAAACTTTAATAGTCACTGAATTGACAATATACTTTAAAGCATTCACATTTGTTCATTATTATTTACACACTTCGTACCTCGGCTATTTAGGACAAATACTATATATTTCGTGTAAATTTCCATTCTAGCTTATTCCATTTCTGTGGTAGGACATTGTGGTCTGTTCCACAAGTTAAGTTTAGAGATGATTCATCCGATGACGAGAGAACAGGACAATAAGTGGCAATTGTGTTGCGTGACCATCAGTGAACATTTGGAGTATTGTACTGCATAGTGGAACAAAGAGGCAAACAGAGTAACAGTGTTTGCTTATCAGCTTGGTTTGAATACATTTGCATAGGCTTACTTCAGTTCAGTTCAAGATTTAAAATATTTGGAAGATTAATGTCCTTAATCACTTTCGGTCAACTTCAGTTTTGATCAATTATATAAAAGATATACAGACAGGTTTAATTTGTACTCAGTGTTGTGGGGTATTCAGGAAATAAATAGGCTACTGTTTATTAATTATCAAATAATAATAAAACAAATAAATCATTCATTTATTAGTTAAATGAAAAATGAACATTTACAGAGCCCAAAATGACCCCTCTATTGACCATATATAGTACAAGTATTGCTTTGGAATTCTTACATATTTAATTAAATTTAACAGAAGTATGACATGACACAAAGCTGTTATTATAAATAAGAGGAAATGTTTATAATCATGTTAATGATAGTTGTTGATCAGCAGTAGGCCTACTGTTCAAATGTTATTAGATGCTATATTTTTAATTTACAGATTTCTGAATTGCATACTTGTTTAAAAAAATTACTTTGACTGCGCCTTGTTGTTTAATTCATTGTTGAGAGTTATCAACTGCTTCAGAAATCCTCGGTTTGGAAAGATCCATCTTCTTTCTTTCACTTTCAAGATTGCAATATATCATTAGGTAAGCTAAGACCAGAGCAGCTGAACGGCTCACTCCCACAGCACAATGCACAAACACTTTAGCTGTTGAAAAAATATGCTTCAATACTTTATCTATTGTCTATTATTAACTGATAAATACATTTTGAAAAATCAGAAATTTAAATGAAATTTAAAGTGTTGTTCATGTCTAATGTCATGCTGTTTTTCAAAATGGAAATGGTGTTTTTTACATACCACCTGTTGTGCTGAGAGCATCATGCATGTAGTGTGCTGAAGGGTAGAAAAATGGTGAAATATCAAATGTAGGCAGGTCATTTGCTGGCACAGCATTGTACTTTATGGTTGTTCCATAAAAATCATCACTTCCTTTGCAACACATTTTACCATGTGCAGCATCCAAAACATGAGTTATACCCAGTCCCCATAGGCCATATCTGTCGTGAGACATGTACCTATATATATATATGAAAGAATGGCATAATAAAGGGTGATTGTTTTCTTTTAATCAACACCTATGAAAAAGAGAAGTCCCACATAAATACACTTACATGTTCCCCAGAAACAAATTAGGCCACACTTCATCGACATGGTTACAGGATAGCTGATCCCCATGTAAAATATCCTCCAGCTCTTCAATAGAGGGACTTTCAGACTAAATTCGATCCACATTCTCCATTTTCAGGAATACCAGAAGAGCAGTGGCTTTATGAGTAGGCTACATGAGTGACATTTCCAGGTGTGACACTTCTGCATTACACTGTTTACCCCAGTAGATGTCAGTGTATGGCCATTCATTCTTTCAACAAGCATGTCCTTTCCCAATTATTGTCAAAAGCCCTATTCAGACGGGACTAGTTCTACAGGGGGTCGTTAGACAAATTTGTGTTTCACAGACGTACTTGGTGATTTTAATCCCGTCCGAATCTGCCACGTCTGTGTTTTTCTCACACAACCTCTGTAATAATTCCAGAGCAAATTACCAACTGTTTTTCAGCAAACTCAGTGATCGTCTGAGAAAACTAATCCCGTCCGAATGCGAATGTCTGTGATTGCTGGTGAAATTTTTTTTTTTTACAACGCGTTTCCTTGTGTGTTTTGGCCAACGTGAATTACCGTATCGTGCGCATGTTTGATATATTTGCCTCCCGGGGGTGTATTCCAGAAAGCACGGTTAACTTACCGTCAGCTAAACCCTGAACTTTCGGTTGATTAACCCCAAACCTTGCTTACTCGAGGTATCTGGTTCCAAAAACGCGTCCGGGAGTAAGTTCGTTTAACTCCGAGTATGTTCCTGGTTAAAACTCAAGACGAATCGAAGAGTCGCTATGGAAACGGACGCTAAGAAAAAGCGCGCCATGCTGTTTCTTTCTTCTTCTTTTGTTCAATGGTCGTTTACATGCTTAGTGCATATCGCCACCTAATTGATGGTTGTGCAATCATTTTTCTTTTTTTCCGTTTAATCTTTAATCCTTGAGAATATGAGTTATATTGTTTGTTTTATGCTAATTATATATTAAGTCATATCAGATATGTATTTTGATTTAGAATTTAGACATTATATAAAATTCAGATCCATGTGTGAGATGATAATATAAAATGTAATAAATATATAATATAATATATTAAACATTACCTTGTCATTATAGTGTTAGTGTTTTAAAATTTATACAGATAACTATTATATATGCCTATAAAATAAATATAATAACCGTATTAGAATAATATATTACTTTATTTATGACTTATATTAGCACTTCATCATTA